ACATGACATAGCCGTTGGCCAGAAGTGAATGCGCGCCCAATAATACTTTAGTCACTTCTTTCATCACATATGAAATGGCATTTATGTAGATATAAATAACGGGAATATTGTGTTTGAGTAGAAATTTAAGCATCTCTTTGCCATCAAATCTGGGCCTCGAGTCGACAACAACTACACGGAATTGTTTGCCTTTTTTGATGGCATTATAGATGACATGTTTGACAATTAAAGAGCACCCGAACGTCAGGATCACATCGTTGTCGTGCACTTTAGTGATGGCCAACTCAGCGATACCTCTTTGAGCGCAAATCACTTCATCGTAAATGAAGTCATCGATGGCTTCGCATAACTGTGTTTTGGCGGTCGAGTCGTTAGTTTGGGCCGGAATTCGGGAAAACGTCAGTTTCAGAAATTTCACGGCATTTGTCATACTTATAGACAGCGGACGACATTTGGCCAAAAATTTCACATAATTATCGATCAAAGACTCCAAATCTCGGGTCAATTCCTTCGATGGAGGAGTCGTATAGTCTTCGATCACTTTCTTAAAGGCCAAAAGCATTGCAACACATCTTGAATTTGATCCTCGAATCAGGTTTTTATTCATTTGAAATCCCGTCTGAATAACCATCGGATGTATTAACGAATCCTTCGCATTGAATCCATCACTCAATTGATTCAGATCTTTGATTCGCTTCGGGATGTGTGCAAAGATTTGGCCCCTTTTTACTAGCGATGTGTTGGCCGTCGAGGAAGTGGTCACCGCTTGTGAACTCACTTTCTTCGCTTCCGTTACTCTCGACTCCACGGCATTCATGTCTTTCGGTTTAAAAGTTTCTGTGTTTTTATTATCATTTTTGACATCACTTTCCACTGATTTAACCGATTGTTTGCCATTATTTTCGGTCAAATTCTTATTGATATTTAGGTTCTCTTTTTGACCACTTTTTGGATCACTTGATTGCTTCGCCATTCTTTGCATTTCCTGTTTAGCTCTTCGTTCGGCTTTTAATTCCGATTTACTCTTTGTTTCCATGTCTTTGGATGTAGTCTTCAGTTTGTCTTTCATTTGCAATTCCTGTCAAACAAAGAGTTGTCAAACATTTCCAATAAAATCAATATTAATTGCAAAACACATACGAATTGAGCCTTTCGTTGGGCTTTCAATAACGCTTTGTCGGCCATCTCTTCAGCCGTCTCTTTGGCCCCACTTTTAGCTACTTTTGAATTGTCCATCGATTGTGACAACTCTTGTGACAACTCTTGTGATTAAAATAAAGTATCGCTAATAAAGTGTTTCATTCAATAATTGTACGTAAAATCAATGTTTGATTGCATCAGCCGTTCACTAAAAAGTCGTTTTGCATTGTTTTGTACTTAACTTAGGGTTCGGTATTTGTTGAGGAAATTCCCCATAAATATTGGAAATTCCCTTCAAATATATGAATATGAAAACTGACGAATCGACCTGACAGTATACCTCTACCTTCATATGATTCTTGATTATTTTATATTATTCTGTTAATGTAAACGACAATAATTATGCGCTCAACTAATTAATACATCAACTAATATATACAGTATATCCTATTATACAGTACTTTACAGTATATTAAAGTGGAATGACATTTAAATTTTAGATTAATCTAAATTTATTTAAATTGAGGTAAAATTAAAATATATTTATTTGTTCTCAAAATACGTTACGATAAATGAATTATTAATGAATAAAATATACAGTAATTGTGAGTAAATATGGATTATATATAGATATCAA